ACAGCCATGGACTGAAGAGACGTACTGCTTATATGTATCTTATCACTTGGTGGAAAAATGGACTTTGAACAAGAAGGATTTTAGTTCAAATTCTCTAAACCATTTTTCTAGCTCTGTGATCATGCACAACTCTTAACTATTTAAGCCCTTGTTTCTTCAGTAATAAATAATAGTACTTCTTGGGCTTTTATGAAGATAAACTGAAATAGTTTGTAAATCAATTAGTTATATGGCCTGTGGACATTCAGGCTCTGGAAACCTGTGCCTTTGATTTCCCAACATTTGTGGCTTAGATTTTGATGCACTTTACCTTCAAACTTGTGATCTTCTTGCTTCAGCCTGAGTGCTGGGATTATAGGTGTGTACCATTAACATGTGGCAAGTTTTGTCTAAATCTGTTTGTCTGTTTGCTTTGTTGAGACAGGATCTTTAATAGTCCAGGTTGGCCTTGAACTCCTAATTCTCCTGCCTTCACCTTCTAGTAGGTGGGCTGACAGGCCCGAGGCATTATACCCAGCCTTTGTCATAGCCAAATTTTTTTTCTTATTTTTCTAAAGAAGAGTTACAGGTAATCTAGACTGGCCTTGAACTTTCCATATAGCCGAGGATGACCTTGAACTTCTAGTGCTCCTCTACTCCCCAAGAGCTGAGATTATATGCATGTGCTAACATGACAGTGGTCATTGGGGTCTCAGAAAGGGGAAGGTGAGAGAAGTGAAGCATGGGATATTTTTAGAGTGATAAACTATTTTGAATGATATAGTGGTGAATACAGGACATCAAACATTTGTCAAAACATAGAACTTTACAGCAAAAGAGATTTGTAATGTATGTAGATGTTAAAGAAAGGAAGTTGGACTCTTGCATGAAATGCAAAATGCAATGAAAGATCTCAATGTAAAGAAGTCAATGTAAGCTGGGTGTGGTGGTATTCCCTTATAGCACTCAGGATGCTGAGCAGGAAGGACTGAGTTTAAGGCCAGCTTGGGCCACATAGCGAGACTCTGTCTTTAAAAAAAATCTCGAAGTATTGTAAGTATATGAGACAACCTGTCTGAGGAGGGCAGAGGAATAAGGGTCTGGCTTTGGATACATAAACACTACATTCTAGTTGATTTTTAATTGCTTTCCATAGGAATGCTGGTCAATTCTAAAATCACTATCCATGTGTATGGAAATGAAGAGTTAAACGAATAGCTGGTGGTGGGAGCTAGGTTCTTGTTGGAATGGAAGCTTACAAGAAAGAGTTATTCTGATAACTCGAGTGATAATGGAGTACAGTTGGAGACATCAGTATGAACTTATGCTTAGTTTAATTTAGGTATAGATGGATACAAACAGAAATGCACAGAGAATAAAGTACACACACAGAGACATCTCCTCTTTTATCAGCTGAAAGTGCCTTGAACCAAGACACCCAGTAGCAATGAACACACCTATCAAATCTTGCTTTCTAATAATATGGATCCAGTGCTCCTCAGAGAATTTGGCTGATTCTAGCATGGAGGCAGGAAATATGTAAGATGATCCTGGAATATTTTGTAGCATAATATATGAAATTACTAAAACAAATAACCAAGCAAAAACCTAGCTGGGTATAATTTACTTGGGGGATGAAGCAGGATTGGGAGTTCCAGGTCATCTTCAGCTACATAGTAAGTTCAAAGTCAGCCTGGGCTATGTGAGACCCTGTCCTAAAGAAACACAAAACATAACTCAGTTGGTAGAAGTTTTGCCTAGCATGCACAAAGCCCTGGATTCCATCCCCAGCACTACTTAAATGGGATGTGGTGTTGCATTCCTACAACCCTAGCACTTGAGAAACAGAGGTAAATGAATCAGCTACAAGAGAGTTTGAGGCCAGCTTGGGCTACCTGAGATCCTGTCTCAAAACAAAAACTAGAAAAACAAGGAAATAATCCAGCCCAACCTAAACCACTATTGAGGTAAGTCAAAGGGATATAGCAGCCAACTGATAATGGCTTCCAGTGGCCAAAGCTGGAACAATTAGAGCCTTAAAGAAGGAAGGAACAACAACAATGCAGTATTGACTTATAACCTAAGTAGAAAGTATTCCAATCCAAGGTCCATACTAATATAAAAAAATAAATACAGAACCAGGAGAGAATAGACAAATGTCGCATATAGAAGAACTCCAAATTATATGGAACAAACTCCTAACTCATTAAATTGGGCTAAGCATAGTGGCATCCCTCCAAAGAGTACAGAATAGAAATCATGGGGGGAAATAAGTGGAAAAAGATGCAAACATTTCCTCAAGGCAGATGATCAAGATTAATGTCAACAGTGATAAATCACTTTTGTGATGGAAATATATTTTGCTTCTGTGTCTTCCTCCCACAAACGCGTTACTCCAGAACAGACAAATCCTAATTGATAGCTAGTCTAAAGAATGCTTGGTCAGTGACCTTCGAAATGGCCAAAGCTGTAGAAACAAGAAAAGTCTGGAAAACAGTTGTAATGAAGAAGGGTCCAAGGAGACATGACAACGCAATGAACTATTTTGGAATGAGTTCCTGGAACAGAAAATGGTCATTAAGAGAAAATTGAGGAAGCCTGAGCAAAGTATTAACTTTATGACACATTATTAATACTGCATCATTGGTTCATTAGTTGTGACAAAGATGTCCTGCTAATGTGATAAGAAAAACAGTGTGGGGTTCATGGGAATTTTTTTTTTCTTTTGTGATAGTTCTATAAGTGAAAAACTTCTAAATTTTAAAAAATTATTTTTTAAAAAACAAGTTAACTATTGTTAGTTTGGGGGAAGGGCAATTGTTTTTGCTTTTGTTTTTGTTTGAGACAGGGTTTCTTGTAGCCCAGGCTGGCCTCCAACTTACTATGTAACTGAGGATGAACTTGACCTGGTCTTTCTGGCTCTATCTAGTTAGGAGTATCAGTACACCACTATATGTCATGTATAAGGCAATTATTAAGTCCAATAAAGCATAAATAGGTTCATGAAAAATCAAGTACTGGGCAGTGAGATGGGTGAGTGGGTAAAGGTGCTTGCACCAAGCCTGACAACCCGAGCTCTATCCCTGGAACCTACCTGGTTGAAGGAGAGAACTGACTCCGCAAAGTAGTCCTCTGATCTCTGTGCCTGTGCCATGGTACATAAGTACAAAGGAAATAAAAGTAGCAAGTTTAAAATGAAGTAAAATGAAAGTATACCGTGGGCTCATCTTTGAAGAATATTTCTAGTCATTAAAATATGAAACATGGCTCCAAGAAAAATTGTGATATAGCTATATTTGAAAATTGGTGGAGGCTGTATGTTAAACACTCACCTACCATGATAGGAACTCTCACATATTTGCAGTAGAACCAAAAAACAGCAGCATAGGGAAGTAATTGCTAGAACAACCAAAAGAATTGAAGCAGGGAACAGTGACTGATGTGTGTCTGTAATCTTACTGCTTTCTAAGCAGAGGCAAAGGGATCAGAAATTCAAGGTAAGGCTGAGCTATATATCAAGACCCTATCTAAAAAATCAAGGGTTGGGCCGGGCATGGATGCTCACACCTTTAATCCTAGCCCTTGGGAGGTAGAGGCAGGCTATTCTCTGTGAGTTTGAAGCCAGTCTGGTTTACATGAAGTTTCAAGTTGGGACTACAAAATATCAGACACATTGTTGAGGAAGAGGGCCCTCACCAGACACCAACCTGCTAGTACCCTGACCTAAGAGTCCAGCCTCCAGGACAGTGAGTAATAAATTTCTGTTGTTTATACATTATTCAGTTTCTTACTGTTTTTGGCAGCCCTAATGAACTAAGATAAATTGAGAATGATTTTATTTTCATATTTTCCTGCCTTAGCCTCCCAAGTACTGGGATTACAGGTATGCACTACTATGCCCAGCCAATTTTTTTTTATTTTGGCAAATTATATCTAACATAAAATTTACCATCTTAAAAAGTAAATGAACTTAATAAAATTTAATTAATTTAAAAATTAAACATTTCCATATTATTTTTCACATATTGATACTTACCTATTATAGCTTGAATTTTCTTTTTATTTTTTATTTTATGTGTATGAATGTACTGCCTGCATGTATGTAAGTGTACCTGTGTCATACAGTGCCCTCGGAAATCAGAAGAGAGCATCGGATTCCCTGGAACTGGAGTTACAGATGGTTGTTAGCCACTATGTAGGTGGTGAGACTCAAACCTGGGTGGCTCTGCAAGAATAGCCAATGCTCTTAACTGCTGAGCCGTCTTGAGAGCCCCTCATTTTTTCTTTTTGAGACAGGATCTTGTCTATCTGCCTGGCCTGGTACTCACTGTGTAGTTGAGGATGACCTTGAACTCCTGATCCTCCTGCCTTCACCTTCCAAGTGATAAATTTATAGGCATGTGCCACCACAGCCAGTTTGGGCAGTACCGAGGATCTAATCCAGGGCTTTGAGCACTCTACCAGCTGAGCTGCATCCCTAGCCCTTATCATTAAATTTTATTTTTTTGGCCCTCCCAATGGTCTACCTATATCCACTTCATTTACGGCTCAGTGGTGGTGTCATGATGACTGAGCCAGGAGAGCCTTCAGGGTTTTTTTTTGGTCTTTTTGAGACAGGGTCTCCCTGTAGCCCCACCTCTGGCCTGGAACTCACAGAGATCTGCCTGCCTCTACCTCTCTAGTGCTGGGATTAGTCCCAGCCTTTCAACTGTAAGTTACAGCACTGGTCATGAACTGAGCTTTTGTAAGTGGCACAACCTTAGAATACAGCTGAGCCAGGCCATGCTGTAATTGCAGAACCTAGAAACAGGAAAAAAGGAGGAGGGTATGGCATACTATGCCTGCTAGGACAGATATGACCACAAACAAGAGCCCCTGCCTCAAAACACTAAGATAAGAAACCACAAAAAAAACAGATAATGCCTTAAAAAAAACAATAAAAGGACCTAGTTCCTAGGAACTGGCAATTGTACTTTTACCGATAAGCCACTTACTTACTGGTCTCAAAACATACATGGGGTCAGGCAAATCACTTCACCCAGGCATCCAGAAAAGTAGGTATGTCACTTTAGGGGCAATCTTTACCCACCCAAAAATTCGTCTCACATTAGCATGAGGACTTGGCCATCACCCCAAATCATTTTTCTTACAAGTTTAAGGCATTTATCTTTAAATTTTAATAGATAATGTTTAATTTTGAGAAGAAAGTTTTGAAAACATGAATACAATTTAAATTTTTAAAAGCTGGGGGAGGGGGCTGGAAAGATGGCTCAGCAGTTAGCACTAACTGCTCTTGCAAAGGGCCTAGATTTGGTTCCCAGCACCCATATGGCACCTAGCAGCCTTCTGTAATATAGTTCAGGGGACCTATCACCCTCTCCTGGCCTCTGTGGATATTGCATGCATGTAGTGCACTTACATGCAGGCAAAACACTCATAATAAGTAAGCTAGGCATACTTCTAAAAAAAAATAATAATCCTGGCACTTGGGAGGCAGAAGCAGGTGGCTCTCTCTGAGTTTGAGGCCAATCTGGTCTGCATAGCAATTTCCAGACCAGCCAGAGCTACATAGGGAGACCCTGTCTCAAAAAAACAAAATTAAATAAATCTAAAACAAAAACCCACAAAGATTTTGGCCAGAAGTGGTGGCCCAAGCCTTTAATCCTTGCACTGGGAACACAGAGGTTGGCAGATCTCTGTTAAAGGCCAGCCTGGTCTATGTAGTGAGTCTCTGGCCATTGAGGGTTACATAGTAAGACCCTGACTCAAACAAACAAAACCAAAAGTAAATAAATAAACCCAATTTTTAGAAAGCATTTTTTTTTTTTGAGACTTGAGAAATGGCTCTGTGGTTAAGAGGGTTGGTTGGTTCTTGCAGAGGACCTGGTTTTAATTCACAGTGCCCACATGAAGGCTAACAACCAACCACCCTCTTCTGGCTTCCTCAAGCATTGCACAACACAGATGCACTTACATACATGCAAACATACACTCACATACACACAAAATTTTTTTTGTCTTTTTGAGACAGGGTCTCCCAGCTGTCCCAGCTGTCCTGGAACTCTCTATGTAGACCAGGCTGGGCTCGAACTCAGAGATTCACCTGCCTCTGCCTCTCAAGTGCTGGGATTAAAGGTGTGCACCACCATGCCCGGCCTTATAATAAAGTATTTTAAAAGATTTATTTTTAATCATGTGTATGTGCAAGTGAGCGAAGTTGCCTGCAGAGGCCAGATCAGAAAAGATCTTTGGATCTCCCAGAGCCCCCTGATGTGGGTGCTGGAAACTGAACTTGGGTCCTCCAGAAGAGCAGCAAGGGCTCTTAACCACTGAGCTACCTCTCCAGCCACACAATTTAAACATTTTAATATTTGGTGTTTACTTTGTATGTAACTTTATTTATTTACTTATTTTGAGGCAGGATCTCACTGTGACTCTGACTGATGTGGAACTCTTATATAGACTAGGCTGGCCTGAAATTCACAGAGATCTGCGTTCTGGGATTAAAAGTTTGTGCCACTGTGCCTGGCGCTTTCTCAAAACAATGATTTCTTTTTAAAAAATATTTATTTGCTGTTAGTTCATATGAGCAAGTTCCTTGTATAACTCTCTTTCCTCCCTTGCCAGTTAAAATACCATTTCCCCCTACTATCCCCTCTACTGTCTCCTACTATCCCCCCTTTCTCACATCCCTCCTTTCTCTTTACCTCCATGGTATCTTTCCATTTTCCTGTTTCCTACAGCATGCACAAGACCCATGCAAATTCAAACCAGACAAAAACTCATCATAGAGCTGGGGAAATGGGTAAGAAGCCTCAGAATTGTTGGCAACTGATCACTGCTAGGTGAGGGAGAATTGGTGGTCTTTAAGGGAGTGATACTAGATAGGCTGACCAGGCTCTAGTGGATGAACTCACCAAGGGACATCTGGGGACAGAAATTTAATAGGCTTTAACATACGTGATAGAATGCATGAAATCCAGTGGGTGAGTATGGGGGGGATTGCAGATAGAGGGGTTTGTAAATGTGATTAAGACATAGTGTATGAAATGTACAGAGTCAATAAAATATATTTTGAAAAAATTTTATGTGTGTGTATGTATGTGTATGTGCACATGTGTGCAGGTGCCCATGGAGGCCAGAAGAGAGCAATGGGTCCCTTGGAGCTGCCCCACATGCGTGTTGGAAACCAAATTCAGGTCCCCTGGAAGAGCAGTATGTACTCTTAACCACTGAGCCATTTCTCCAGCTCCGAAACTTTTTTTAAAATTTAATTCAGTTTAATCTACATGGTGTTAGGTTTTGGACCCAAAGTCTTTGTACATTCTAGTCAATTATTTTACAACTGATACTGAATTGAATTTACATTTTGGTGAAATATACAAAAGTCATATATATTTTAAATATTTTACTTATTTTCATTTTGTGTGTGATGAATGTTTTGCCTGCATGTATGTAAGTGAGCCATGTGCATGCTATGCCTGCAGAGGTCAAAAGGGCATTGGATCCCCTGGAACTGGAGTTATGGATGGTTGTTAGCCGCCATGTGGGTACTGGGAAACCAAATCCACATTCTCTGGAAGAACAGCCAGTGCTCTTAACTGCTGAGCCAGCTCTCTAGCCCCTTAAATTGTATATCTTTTAAATTAAAATTGTATTTTATTTTTAGTTCTTTAAGTCAAAGGTTGAGGGGTTTTGTTGTTGTTGGGTTTTTTTTTTTTTTTCCTGTAAAGAGCTAAAGTAAATTTTTAGGCTGAGATCACCTTCTCTTTGTGTGCAGACCTTTTGAAACTGTGTGAGAGTGCCTGACTTGGTCTCTGGGCCTAAGAAATGGAAGCAACCTAAGTGTCCCTCAACTGATGAATGGATAATGAACATGTGGTACATTTACACAATGGAGTTCTACTCAGCAGTAAAGAAAGATGAAATGCAGGCTAGAGAGATGATCCAGAGGTTAAGATCACTGGTTGTTCTTGCAAAAGACCCAGGTTTGATTACCAGCACCCCCATGGTGGCTAACAACCGTCTGTAGCTCCAGTTCCAGGGGATCCAATGGCCTCTTCTGACCTCCATGGACGTTGCATGGCATGGGTGCACTTACACACATGCAAGGTATATACTCATAAAATAAATACTAAAAAAAAAAAAGACAAAATCATGAAATTTGGAGGTGAATGTATGAAACTAGTAATTATACTAAGTGAAGTAACGTAGACTCAGAAAAATAAACACGTGTGTTCTCATTTGTGGATCTTAGCACCAAATCCTTATATGTGAGTGAGCGTATATCCTGATGCAACTGCAGGAGCCAGGAAAATAGAAACCATGGAGGTAAAGGGAAAGAAGGAACCTGAAAGAAAGGAGTAGGAGACAGGTGTTTCCAAGGGGGAAGCTGGTAAAATGGGGGTATTTAACTGGACGAGGAAGAAGGAGGGTTATACAAGGAACCATGGGGGTAAAGGAAAAGAAGGAGCCCAAGAGATGGGGGGAATCATAGGAGACAGGTTTTATCAAGGGTGAAATGGGGATACTTTAACTGGGGAGGGAAGAGAGATAAATAATGCTTAGTTGGTATGAAAAACCAGAGTGAAATGTATTAGTTGAAAAGCCTACTGAAAAATTATACATAGAATATCTGTACATGAGTGCATTGTATAACTGAAGGCTATATAACAAGAAACAGTGCTAGACGGGAAATCTCCCTTCGAGTTGTTGATCAGGGTAGTACAAGAGACTCCCAAAATTATACAGGCTGTTGCTACAGCCCTGATTGCCTCCCAGATCTTGAAGGTAAGACCCTATTGCTGAAGACAGGACATACTTTTAGATACAGGACTTGAAGCAATGAAGCTGGACCTGACCTAGAAGCCTCCTTCCTGAAGGCTAGCTCTCATAGTTTTGGAAGACACTGTAAGCTGCTAAGGGAGAACATCAATCAATGGTTTAACTCCAACTTTAAAGCTTAATAACTACAATAATGACTGGCACAGCAAACTATATTGATGCAGTAGTGGCACTTGAAGGGGTAATCCACAGAGGGAACTCATGGGTGGCATTATTAACATAGCCAAATACACATAACTGGAGAGGCCATAGATCCTGGAGAAAACCCCAAGTTTGTCACATCCCTAGACAAACGATGTCTTACTATATGCTAAATATGGATCCTTATAATCACAAGTATGCCAGTCACCAGTCATCCAAGAAACTTCTTTTGCAATAGATGGAGACACACAGAGTTCCACAACTGATCACACACCGAGAATAAGTGTCTGTGAAATGTCTAAACCTTAGTGACACATCTACAAAGGAACCTCTACACCTAAGGCTCACGGAACATATTGAAACAAGGGATAGAGAGAATACTAATTCGTCTCTTGACTCTTATCAGCAAAGCTTCCTTATGCAATGGGGATAAACACAAAAGGCCACAAATGGCCAAAGCGTAGAGAGTAAACACCTGTAGACATGGCTTAGCAGGTAAAGGCACTTGCCACACAAGTCTGACTGCCCGAGTTAGATCCCCAGAACCCATGTTGGAAATAGAGGACCAACTCCTGAAAGTTGTCTTCTGATCTCATACATGCTGTGCAAGTGTACTTCCCAACACATACAGCATACAATAGAAATCTATAAGATTTTTTAAATATTAATTTCATATGTTTGGTGTATGTGAGGGAGTCTGGTGTGTGTGAGTGTGTATGAGTATGTGTGTCTAGTGTGTGTGAGTGTTTGTGGAGTGCATGTGGAGGTCACAGGACAATTTTTGGAAGTTGGTTCTTCCAATGTGGGTTCTGGTGATTGAACTCAGGTTGTCAGGCTTGTGCTGCAAGCACCTTTACTTACTGAGCCATCTCCCTGACCCTTGCTTTTTTTGAGACAGGTCTTATAAAGCCCAGGTTAGCCCTCAAATTCACTATATAACTGAGAATGACTTTAAACTTTTTTTTTTTTTTGGTCTTTTTTTGAGACAGGGTCTCCCTGCAGCCCCAGCTGTCCTGGAACTCACTATGTAGACCAGGATGGCCTTGAACGCTCAGAGATCTGCCTCTCTCTGCCTCCCAAGTGCTGGGATTAAAGGTGTGCACCACCACACCCAGTTTATGACTTTAAACTCTCTTTTAAAAATATTTTAATTATTTTTATTTTTATGTGTATGCATG